TTCTAAATTTTCTAAAATTTTTATTTCTTGGAATTTTTCAATTTTGATTACATTTTTGGATAGCTGGTGTCTATCTGATTCCAACAATATAAGTTTTGTTTTGAAATTCTGATTTTGATTTTGGTCGATTTTTTGCGATTTTTAGTCAAAATTTAATAACTCTAAAACGGCTCCAACGATTTTTTTTGAAACTTCAATACTATGAAGTCATAGGAGGAAACTAGTGCTTAAACTATATATGAAAATCCTCTAATCAACGGAAGTGGTCAAGAAAAGTACCCAAACTTTGACAAAATTCTGAAAAATGGGTGCCTGTGCGGAAAATGAGATGTCTCCATTGTGTTTTTGCCGATTAGTTAAAGTTTTATATCTTTTAATAGCCCATGTAATTGTCTATCAAGTGGTACTAAAGCGACAAGTTTCTATCACAAATTGAAAAAGTTATAGGACTTTGAAAAGTAAGATTTTTTACGATTTCGAGCAAATTTTTATTTTTGGGAATTTTGTAATTTTGATCACATTTTTGTATAGCGGACATCATTCCGATGCCAGCGATTTAAGTTTTGTTTTGAAATTCGGATAGGGATTTTGGTCGATTTTTGCGATTTTTACGAGTTTTAGTCAAATTTTAATAACTCAAAAACGGCTCCAACGATTTTTCTGAAACTTCAGGAATATGAAGTCAAAGGACCAAACCAGTTCATGAACTATAAATGAAAATCCTCTAATCACCGGAAGTAGTCAAGAAATGTATCTGAACTTTGACAAAATTCAGAAAAATGGGTGCCTGTGCGGAAAATGCGATGTATCAACTGTGTTCTTGTTGTTTAGTTAAAGTTTTATATCGTTTAATAGCCAATTGTCTATCAGGTGGTACTTCAGCGACAAGTTTCTATCAAAAAATAAAAAAGTTATGTGACTTTGAAAAGTAAGGTATTTTCCGATTTCGAGCATTTCTAGACGCATGTTTCTCGGAAACGCCCACAACGATTTTTTTAAAACTTTCTCAGTCGAGAGTCTAATGAGTAGTGTATCTTGTGAACACATTGTACAATTTCTCTAATTGTCATGGGTAGCCGAAAACAGAGATCAAAAATCGAAAACGTCGTATTTTTACGATTTGGAGCATTTTTAGAGGCCTATTTCTCGAAAAGTCAACATAATTCTTTTTTGGAACTTCTTCTACAGAGAGGCCTATCGGTAGGGTTATACATAAAACGATTTTACAATAGTCCCAAATTTCAGGAGTAGCAGAACAAAGGGATCGAAAATTGAACACGGCACCTTTCATTGTTAAGCGAAACATAAGTGGGGGATACAATCTGTACGTTTTGTCAACGCATAGAGCCAATTCAAGAGAGCTTTTATCAGTGATGATATTTGAACTAAAATTATTTCAACTATGAGTGTTTTCTTCTATCCAAAATATGTGTTTAGTGACCCTGTAACAGAAATAGTTGATAGCTGTGTGTAATAATGCTCAGGCATCCTCATTAATGATATCTTTAGTTCGTTTTACAAAACTGATTTAATCAAATGTGCTTTGGAGACATTCTATCGATGTACATCCATTAAATCTACTTTTTTGAGATTCAAGTTTGAATATCGAAAAACGAGTAGCTCGTTTTTCGAGATTCACCAATATCAAAAAACAAGGAGAAATATCAGTTTTATGTGAATACACTGCTCAGACATCCTCATTTATGATATCTTTAGTTCGTTTTAGAAAACGTATTTAATCCAATTTGTTTTGGAGAAATTCTGTAGATTTATAACCATCAAATCTGCTTTTTTGGGATTCAAGTTTGAATATCGAAAAACGAGTAGCTCGTATTTCGAGATTCGCCAATATCAAAAAACAAGGAGAAAGAGCAGTTTTTATGCGAAAAGACTGCTGAGGCATCCTCTATTACGATATATTTAGTTCGTTTTACAAAACTGATTTAATCAAATGTGTTTTGGAGACATTCTGTCGATGTACTTCCATTAAATCTACTTTTTTGAGATTCAAGTTTGAATATCGAAAAACGAGTCATTCGCCAATATCGAAAAACGAGCTAGTTGTTTTTCGTTATTCGCCAATATCGAATAACGAGTAGCTCGTTTTTCGTTATTCACCAATATCGAAAAACGAAAATCGAGCTAACTTCACACTCCCGTTTTTACTGCCATGTTTTGTTTCATATCTACACAGGGGGTTGGATGGCCGAATGGTTAGCACGTGCGTGCTTTATCATAAGGCCTGTCATTGAGTCAACTGGCGTGGTTTCGAGTCCCCGGTTGTACGTGACAAGGAGTAGGGTTGCCTGTCCAACCTCGTGGGTTTTCTCCGGGTTCTCCGGTTTCCTCCCACTGCTAAAGACCCCTACGCGCAAGCGAATTATTGAAATAAAATTAAACCATATGTTAGTCCCGAAATGACCTAGTCTGTCGAGTGGACGTTAAACCCCATTTCTCTCTCTCTCTCTTTCATATCTACACAATATATCACGTAGAGTCTTTTTAAATGGGTTACAATAACTTTTACACCGTATCTAAATGGTGATTATTTTAACCGACCGATAGACTGTCTGAATTGTATTATATTAAACATTAAGTGTAAATACGGTCTATCAATATCATAAAACATCGAAATTGATTAAATAATTAATGTAATTTGCAAAATTGGCTTTTATTAAGGTAAAATCACCTTAACTATAGCGTGCGTGGTACCAAAATCTCGTACCATGTTACAATTGTATAGAAGCAATAGGGACGAGCGTAGTATGTTGGAGCTTTCTATTTAACCACTGCCAAATATGAATTCATAGCATTGTACATCACGCTTTACGGAGGAAGGTCGGGCTATAGGGAGTCTAAAATGCATTTTGAGGGACAAACAACGATACGGGTAAGGGCTCGATGAATGTTAGAGTGTGTGTGTGTGGGGGGGGGGGGGGCAGAACCTGAAATGCTTTAAAAAGAAACTCGGGTTACAGATGGCGGCGCCGGTCGTCTGCAAGAGACAAAGGAGCGGATCTTCCGTGTATGCCCCCCCCCCCCCCGCCCAAGAAAATTTGGGAATTTGACGAACGCAAACCCTTTTTCCTGCTATTCCAACCCATGATGACTCACCTGGCATTCTAATCTAATCAATCGTTCACAGTCCACAGAGAAACAGAGGAAGGGACTGTCATGAGAAAAGTTTGAAAATTAAACTGCTGCAAACGCGGTATTCTGCTATTTTAGCCCGTGAGTTCAGCAACTTCAAAGTTTCCAATCGTTTTGCAACCGAAATCCCATTTTATGCCGACCGACCTTTCAACCATCCAATCAGATTGTTGCCGCTGCATTCATAAATAATGATCGATGCGCGAAAAATGTCGCACAAAGTAGAGTGAAACATAGATAAAATATTTTAAGCCAGTACAAATTTGTAGTATTCAATTGAGAGAACAGTACAATTAGTGTTTTATAAATTTCGGGCACTTTATTTTGCTAACTAGATGAAATAATGATTTTTGTTTCAATTTACCCGTATGTGCGAAAGGTAAGATTGCCCTAAAGTTAGGGGACAGCTTCTTGTACTCAAATGGTATAAAATATGTAATACCAAGGTTGTGGAGACCTCAGAGGTCAACACTTCTATCTGATTTTTATGAATACCAAAGATTACGGTTCCTTTCGATATTCGCGCATATCGAACCGTAACTTCATGAATTATGGCCCCTGATAGGATTCTACGAAAAACCGCGTTTTTAGCTTGTGGATCGTCTAGGGGTTACAATTTTTATCCGATTTTAAAATACCTTCAAGTAAATCACAGTTACACCATAAGGGCGGTTGCGTTTGAATTTCCTTAAAATCCAATCGAAACTACCTATTATCGATTGTCAAGTACTATGTTGCAACTTTCGTGCATTAGCTTAAAAGGGTCCTCAGTATCGTTTAAAAGGGACTGCAGTATCGTTTAAAAGATATAGCTAAAATTCCCGAAGACATACACAATAAATGCCAGTGCCGGCCATTCACATGCTTATTCTATTCGTTTCAACTGGCATTTCTCTCCACAACTTGCAACAATGATGGTCGGCGAATGGTGACATTAATAATAAGTAATGTCATAACAAACATGCAAAAGCAAATGATTGTACATAATATTGGTGTCTCACTTCGTTAAGCAGTCATTTTATATACAAAAACTGGTTCCTTTACGAACGGTCTCTGATCGGAGGATGCGCTCCCACTGTTCCAGCAATATGAAAATACCTTTCAATCCCCATCTGTTTTCTAAGGCTATTTTGGAATCCTTACCTTCTCTTTTTGGCTTTGATTAGTGTAAAGAATGATTAAACAATACGAACACGACAAATGATATAAAAGTAATATGGACTATACATCGGGACTAGACAAAATTACATATTGGTTGGTTTTACCGTAGGAAGCCTCAGCGTATGACTGTTCAATCGAGAATAGGCGTTACGTTATTATTTTTTGTTTTCCGTAGACAGCATCAGCTTTTGACGCCCATGGCCAAAACCATCAGTTTATTTAGTCTGAGGTGTCTGGCGCTGTCCCCATACTAAACATAGGCTGTCTGTCTACAATTAGCTCCGCTTGAGAACAGACACTAAGCTAGTTGACCGACATTTTAAGCCCTAAATCGACGATTTTAGTTGAAAACGCGAAGTAAACTTCAAGAATTTTGAGAAATATTTATTGTCCTTCCATTTAATGGAATTGGATAGGTTTATTTAGCCTTTGTGTGTACGACATACGTGAAAATGTGTAGAACCGCATTACAAAACAATATACTAATTTTTGGATATGGCGGCCATTCAGGACAGAGATCTATTCTCGAAGTATGAAGTAGATGGATAGTTCATGGCTATTGACATGCACAGGTCAAGAAAAGGATCATCAAACTCTCCAGACAAGTTCAAATAGCTAACGATTTTTTTTTGTATTTTTATATTCAGTAATTCTCCATATTTCATCTTTACATTTTTTTATTTTTCCAGGTATAAAATGAAAACAAAAATTAACAGTAGCCTAAAGTTGAGGGAAACACTATATGGTACCGGTAATTAATATACTCCAGAAAGCTGCCATCGAAAAATGAGAAAATTTTCCTCGACCCGTGACATTTTTACTGGCTATCCGCCTCGTTGAACCGTGTACGATACTTGACACTGGCGGGGATAATTTGTTTATTGATGGTTCTGTTCAAACAAATAATTATACGTTGACTAATTATACCGGAATTTGAACGTTTTCACCTGGATTATTTATTGTTGATAATATCGTGAAGTGCAACCCCGGAAGATAACTCCATACATACATGGTTAACCAAAAACATTATATAATACTATATAAATTCCCAACAAAGGGGAAGTGAAGAAACTTGGTGTATAGTTTCATTATATCAATACCTTGACTAAGTTCGATAATGAGTATTTTCGATTTAAGCAACTCCATAAAGATAAACTCGGTGTTGATGTTGATGTTAGTGGGTCACGTGAAAACATCTATGTTACCAGGTATTTACACAGTATTACTAGACCAACTACCCAACCAGTATTGACAGAGAGTGTGAAATGGGGTTTGAAGGTCCAATCGACACAAACTTGGTCATTTCGGGACTAACACATGGTTCAATTTTATTTCAATATTTCGCTTTCGCGTAGGGGTCTTTAGCAGTGGGCGGAAACCGGGGGACTCGGAGAAAACCCACGAGGTTCGACAGGCGATCCTACTCCTTGCTACTTACAACCGGGGAATCGAAACCACGCCAGTGGACTCAATGACAAACCTTAAGATGGAGCGCGTCACGACGAACTGATTCACGACGAGGTGATTCAGTAAGTAAGACGTTGGATTGCAAACCAGGCAAAGACATTGTCTAGTTGTTCGCATTGGACCCGTGTAAACGCATGTGAGGACGTAAAAAAATTCGGAGTCTGATGGAATTCTAAATTTAAGTAGGCCGTAGCCTAGTCGGTCCAGACAATTAGGACGTTAAACACTATTTCATTTTGTAGTGACGATTCAAGACAAACATATATAATTATATACGGTTTATGGAGCGGTTTTATCCCAAAATCCATAAAGTTTATAGGTATTAACTCTATATCAATTATGACTTTTGTAGCACCATGGGCCTTCTGTCAGACGTGGAGAGCGGGCCATTGATTCCGGTCGCCACAATGTCATCTACGTACGATCCATGCATCTTTTCGTACTACATATCTTAGTAGCCTTGTGATCGTCTAGAATTTGTCTCTAGCTGTCTTTACTTCTGCTTCACATTGCGTATTTACTTCTTACTCTTTTCTTAAGAAGTTTGTCTTCTCAGTAGTTATAACAATGCAACAGTTCGTTTTTTCATTTTATATACCATATTATAGCCGGATACATTGGATACAAGCATAATAGATTACAATAATAAAGTCATTCTCTCAAACCTCATTCAGCCAGACTCGTTGGGCAAGTCTGCTGATAGAACCTGCTACATCTTTTCCCTTCTGAATCAAGCTGCTGTCTAGGAACTCAGATCGTAAACTCTCCGGAATCTAATGAAAGTCTGACTTAAAAGTTTACTATTATAGGGCTCGTGCATATCACGCACAAAAAGCCTGTTCATGGCCCTGAACCTGTGCAATTTCTGATATGATTGGTTAAATTAAGCCAAATGATGCAATTAGAATATTTCCACTCACGTGTAATCTCGTGGTATTTTATTGACACATTCCACCAGCTATGTTTTGGTTCTGTAACTCTTTTTATGTGTCAACCCGTCAGTTATTAACTAAGTTGATTTAAGTACAATTCTACATATATGTAAATCTACCAACTTGCCAAAGGTATTAATTAATGAAATATACTGCCACCATTAATTTCATGAGCAAAACTTTTAGCAATATTAATACACTTTCGGCCATGCAATAATTCTATGTTTGTCAATTTTCATGGTTATATCTATTGTATCTGCTCATATATTTCAGATTCTTTATTCGAATGGAAAAATACAACAAATCCTGTGATCAATACTATACGTAAAAGAATTGCCCTGGAGTGGATATATCAATCTAAAGTACCTGTCAACAGCATGGTCTTTACACGCTTTAGAAACAGCTCTGACATTAAAGTAAGGTCATTCAATTTAATGGAATTAAATCATTATTACATACTGATCATAAGAAATAGCATGTATATGAGTAAATAAATTGTCAGTGTAGATGTCATTGGTAGATATGTGTAAATGGTTGTATGTTTAAATGATTGCAGGTTCCTGTTGGAAAATGGACAAGGGAAGAAGGATTTAAACCGGATCTCTTCATATCAACTGTATTGACCCTTATTACAGTTCCCATAAATGGAACGAAGGAGACCAAAGTATCTTTAATACTAGAAAATCCTATCCATATAGACTACGACCGCCAGTACAACTGTCAGGTGAACGTCGGCGATCCAGTACAAAGGGATAGTTTTTCAATTGAATTAAGAGCGCTGAGTAAGTAACAGTACTTTAGTCTAATAATTTTAAAGTATGGTACATTTAGATTATGCTTGAGTACGTGAGTATCTAAATGACTCATATTAATGCAAATGTATTTTCCAGGACCAAACTGGACACATTCTGAAGATGAAACATATGCTACCTTGGAAGATGTTACATTTATGTGGGAATACAAGTATCCTTATCAAGCAGTTGCCGTGTTTATAAGACGCGAAAATAGCAATGGAAGTGAACAGGTGAACTTTAATTTACATTTAATTAATATCCCAGATACATTCTATGTTATGTAAGGTGTTAAAGGGTCTGGCGGGATGAAAATGTTCAGAATGTGTTTAATTAGAAATTGTATGCAATTTACAATTCTCATTACTACCGTCTCTATCTTATGTGTGATTAGAGAAATCACATCAGTGATTATGAAGCCTCTTTTATCATATGTGTAATTAGGGATATCACATAGGAAGCTAGGTGGTCTATGAAGCAGTGTTAACATGGGTATCAAACAGGTGTTGATCAGTGTCCATTCCGAAGGGGTACATGTTTTTGGCACATAGTTAAGAAAATAAGTGCTTGTTAATTTTTCCATCGGATAGGACCCTTTTCATTTATCAGTCACAGCTGTGTAGTAAATATATTTTATTCAAACAAAATGTCGTTCAGTGCAGCAAGACCTGTGTTAACGTTTCACAGAAAAGGTGATCCATGATGTCCTCATTCCTTAGTTTGCAATTATTAACTTATTTTACCGACCAGTAAATAAATAGGCACATTGGTTCTCTATGTGGCCTATAATGCCCTTCGTAAAAGTCGTACGTTGACAAGTGATCAGAATTTTTAATGTTTTTGAAGGTTGAGGTAGGATATTGGTACCAGAGGAAATTTAATGATCTGGATCAGTTTATCAATAGAGTGATGCTTACAAAAACAACAAATAAAGATAAAACTGGTGAGGAGATCAGTCTAACATTGATAAACGTCTCAGTAGATGATTTTGGGTGGCAGTATGTCTGTCAGTTAACACTGGGTGATGGGGAGCAACTATTAACAAGAACACTATTAAAAGGTACAGTACACATTATTATAGTTATTTATGTTATTGATATTGGATATATAATTGTTAAAGAGAATAGTGTAAATACCGGAATTAGTGTAGTTGATATTTATAGCAGTCTTTTTTATTTTATGGGTGGTGCCGGGGTAAGGTGGGTTATTTCGTTTATTCATTTAATATCACTTGTTGAATTTTATCATTTTATTTAATAGCAGAAGTGGAGCGAATTACTGTAACGCCTAGAACAGATTCACGAGCATCCACAGCTACCAGATCACCAGTTGGTTACAGTACAATTATAGTTGTTATTGTCACATCTATTATCTCTCATATCTCACAGTACTAGTAAGTACTTGTTGCTACTTGTTATTGTCACATCCATTATCTCTCATATCTCACAGTACTAGTAAGTACTTGTTACTACTTGTTATTGTCACCCCTATTATCTCACAGGACTAGTAAGAACAAATAATACTATTGTAAATTTTACCTTTTTGTTGGTTCTACTGATGCAGCTAAACCTTTCGACATTGTAAATGAAATGCTGTTCATTATTTGATGAATGCCCTTTGGCTCGTTATTCAGGATTAACCAATAACGAGCCAACACGTTATTAGGGATTAGGCAGTAAAACGACCAACCTACCTTGCATAGGACCATTCCCTCGCCGTAGGGTAAATGAACGTTGGGTGGCCAACTAGCAAGAAGACCACCATTTGTCAAGCGAATAAGGTGTTTGCTGGCGTGCACGGGACAGTCCTCTCCCGCACTCACCTGGGTTTTTTTGTCGAATAACGAGCCAACTTTACGTTGCCATAAACTGATGTTTTTATCGTCAAAAGGTGGTGACTTGTATACTGTAGATGACACTAACGGCATTTTACTACTCCACGCTTGTCGTTACGGTACAAATGAAATCGTTAAATTTTTGGTTAATGAACTGATATTGCTGTATGTCTCAGTTTAACCCTGTCGATAAACTGTGGTTATAATCGTCATATGGTGGTGACTTGTATAAAGTAGATGGCTTTCACCACAGCTGTAACTACTCCAAGCTTTTCATAAAGGTACAACTGAAATGGTGTTGGTTAATGAATTTGAATTAAGGCTAGAGAGAGAGAGAGAAAAATGGGGTTTAACGTCCACTCGACACAAACTAGGCCATTTCGGGACTAACATGGTTTAATTTTATTTACATAATTCGCTTGCGCGTAGGGGTCTGTAGCTGTGGGAGGAAACCGGAGGACCCGGAGAAAACCCACGAGGTTGGACAGGCGACCCTACAAATTAAGGCCAGAGACCAGCAGTACGTTGTTATGAGTCTGAGATTAATCCTGTCGATAAACTGACGTTTTTAAAATCAAAAAGTGGTGACTTTTATAGTAAATATAGCCCTAACCGTAATTTACTACACAACGCTTGTGTGGATGGTACCACTGGAATGGTTATGTTTTGGGTTAATGAGGTGCAATTAGAATTATCTGATTGTAGAACTATATTATATATCTATAGCCCAGGCTGTTAGTTTATCTGTAAACTCTGCAAGAAATATTGGTGTTATTTTTGACAAAACTGTAAAAACTGCGAGATGATACACCGCGCGGGAACTAATCAGTCTTTAACAACAAATAAAATGAGCTCAGATAGTTCTGCGAGCAACGGGTGGGTACCCATTATATACCATGTTTAAACTAATAAAGGGATGGGCGCATAATCTCTACGTACTCCAGACAGATTCGGTAGAATCCCAATTAAACTTCACTAGGTAAGTTCGTTTAATTTTTTAATTCTACCTCACTGTCCTACGTCACTCCGAGATTAAGCGAGATCTTTAAAGCCTGAGATCATTTTAACCCGTCATAGAAATAAATAAAGTTACATATTGTTAATTAACAATTAACTTTACGTTAACAATGACTAAGCAAAATCATGTGATACAATCTTTTTCTTATAATATCTCACAAATGTATTTTCAGATTTCCATTCAATTGTATTTAAAATCGTTTGAATACTCACACTATTACTTAAAGCTTTCGATGATGATGCTGATCTTGTTGAATGAGCTGAAAAAAATTTCAAATCAATTCCAGAATCTTTCAAGACCAATTTGGTCCATCTACTTAAAGTATCCCTAGAAATAGGTTTAAAAGTTGCCCAACTCAACAACAATTTCGTCTCATCTTTTCTATTACTTTCAGTTTTAGATAAATATTCTTTCAATTTTTCCACAACACACAATGATTTATCCTCAGAAAATGCTGGAAATGTTACTTGAGACAAGTGTGATCTTGGTTTACTGGTTTAAAGTAAATCACCTATTCTAAATGAAACACTATTATCATTTAAATCCATATTCCGCGAATCAAAACACATTATAGTCTGACCTCTCTGGCATGACAAAAGTAAAAATAACATTACCATTTTTAATGTTAATTGTTTTAAACATAAATAATGCAATGGATACCACTGTTTAATAAATTTCAATACAATAGAAGCATCCCAAATAACTTTATTTTTGGGTAAACTAGGTCTCTGATTAAACACCCCCTTTAAAAATCTACAAATTAAAAAGTGTTTACCAATAGCTTCTTGGTTACTTAAACTAATAGCAGACACAGCAGACCTTGCTGTATTAATACTGCTATACCCCATATGGCATTATCAGAACCACTTCTGCATTGTCTTGTTCCATTTTTTTTGCAAAATTCGACCAATCAGGCTGAAAGGAGGGAATATATATGACAAATTAAAGTTGTGCCAATTAATACTAAAAGCATTTATGACAAATGCATCAGGGTCCGGTCTCCAGCTGACATAATTATCTAACTGTTTATTAACCCTTGTAGCAAATAAATCAATTGAAAAAATTCCGAATGTAGATTTTTCTTTCTCAAAAATTATTTTATCTAGCATCCATTCAGTTTCACTTTTATACTTTCTTGATTCTCTATCTTCAACAGTATTCAAACTACCTTGAATATGACAAGCTGTCATGTTCTCTACACCATGACCAAATATCTCTCGTCAATGTATTCAAATCTGATTTGGTGCTACCCATTTTATTAATACAAGCTACAGCTGTAGTATTGTCAGTTAATAATTTTACATGAATGAATCTTTTGTTTTTACAAAATATAATTAAACTAATTTTAGCAGCTAACAGTTCAAGATAATTAATATGTTTTTCCCTTTCAGCTGAAGACCAAAGACCACCAGTGGAAATGCCATTACATGTTCCACCCCAGCCTGACATTGATGAATCAGTTTTAATCTCTAAATCATCAGGCCTTGTCGAGACAGGTTTAAAAACCTAATCAATATTTTCAGTCCACCATGTAATATCTTGTTTAATAATCTCATTAGTAAGAAATCTGGCCTCATAATTACCATAATTCTCAACCAAGGCATTATTTTTACACAAGCTAAAACATTGTCTTTACAATCGGAATAGATGTCACCTTGCTGTAAGCTGTCATCGATATACGATATCGCGTTAAATCCTTGCTTTCTAAGCTCGGATAAAACAGGCTTCATAATCTTAGTGAAAATCCTTGGTGCATCAGAATAACCCTGAGGCAAAACTCTGAATTCGTATAAATTACTTTCATGCTGAAATCTGAAAAACTTTCTGTCCTTTTCATTCAATAAAAGACTATAATAACCATCTTTAAAATCTACTGAAGTAAAGTAACAATTCCTTTTCATCAACCAAATAGCATCTTTCAATGTGTCCATTTTAAAGTGTATATGATTGACTGATTCATTAAATCTTTTTAAATTTAAAATAGTTCTATAAGAGATACTATCAGATTTCTGTCTCAAGAAAATGTTTGATAAAAATTGATCATGAACAGGGTCCACTTCAGTAATGATCTGTTTTGATTTCGTTTTTCCATTTCATTCCTCATGACGACCTTTTCATGAGCATTAAACATGATAGGCCTAGGTGGATAAAAGTGTCTTAGAAAATCCACTAAATTTGCAGATACACCCTCAATAAGATTCAAAATCCAGGGATCTGAAGTAATAGTATGCCAAGTACCCAAAGAAACAGAAAGTTTTCCAGCAATGAAATTGTCAACAGTATTGAAACTATCTCTTAAAGGAGAGTGGGTTATATTACCTTGACCACTTACATGTACTTGATCTAAATTAATACCATTTCTATTAAAATTATCTATTTGCTGGAGCTTGTGGACTGTGTCTCTGTTTTCTTTTTGCAATAAATCTTGCTTGGAACTCTGTTTGACCCCTTGTAATTGTTCTGAATGTAAGGAGAGGCCTTTTTTAGTTTGAGTTCCTGTTGTAATGATTCTGTCCCCTCCTGTACTCGTTTTTTGAATATCTATTCTGAGTATTGTGTACTTCCCCAGTTAATTTGTGTACATCAGCCAAGTCCTTCGCCTGTTTGGAAAGGTCAAGAACAAATAACTTCTCATTAGATGAAGAAGGATTATTTCTTGAACACAACTGAGTAAATTTATCGTTTAGATGTGGCCTTATGTCGTCCTTTCTGCGTTGTGTTATTTCACAATAAACAGCCGTCAATAATCTAAATATATCTGACATAAGTTCAAAACACTGTTTGGCATCTAATTGTTCCTTATTTATGTTAGTCTTGTATGCCTCATTCATAAGTTGAACTGTTGGAATAATACTTTTAACTACAAATGTTTGACATTTTTGTAAATGTAAATCATTTGATTTGACATTTGTAGGCAGAGATCAACAAATTTCTTCATTGACCTTTGGTACAACAACATTTTTACAATTACTTGGACGAGAATATTTGTCACAAATTTCTTTAATTTTTATATAAGATAGATTGGAGCAAATCATACCATTATCCACAATGTCAGCTAAATTCTGTGAAATTTCTGAACTACATTCACAAGATAAATTGAAAAACTCTGACAGATCACTCAATGTTGGGTCCGGATCCATATTCCTGTCAACCCCATCATTTTCATTATCTTTTAACACACAGCTCCTATCATCATCCATGAGGTGATCCAATTCATCACCCCCCTCCCCTTCCGTTTCTGATTCACTCATGTCATGGATTTTCCGTCTTTTAGAGTCAGGGGACGAACCGTAACATTCAAGTAATGGCCGAAAGCCACCCATCATGGCGTCTTTGAACCCGTCAAACATCATTTTCATTGAATCCATTTGCATTTTATGCTTGGTAGATATCATATTAGAAATGTTTACTTCATTATTATTAGTCATTTGACCTAGTTTGCTCGTGTCAAACTGTCTGCAGTTAGCTGAGGAAGGCCTATTGGCATGTTGCCAGAAGTTTTCACTCTACTTCATGTTGAAGTTTTAGCTGCATTATATTC